TGTGCTCTGAAAACATGTCATGCTTCACCAGGTTTCGTGCGGGTAGGAGAGCAGAAGCAGCAGCGTGCTCACTTGCTTACCTTATTTGAGTTGCTATCGCAAAAGTTCTACTTGACTTTCTATTCTGAAGCTCCTGAAATCAAGTTTAGCAAGTTACTAATCCCGAACTAACCTGCAGAGTGATAGTTGTTGGGGTAGTATATTCTCTGTGGAGCAACCATTGCAGAATTTAGTAGGTAGGAAATTCATAGGAATTTGCAGTAAGAAATGTACATCAAAAGAGGGCTGAAAACTCCAGAATGTGTGTAAATGTTGCATAAAATAATACTTTTTTTGGGGGGGTGTTTATTTTGGTGGGGTTTGTGTTTGTTTGCTTGGGTTTGGTGTGTGTTTTGTTCCCCCCACCCCCTTGTGATCACAGTTAAGTGTTCGATCTAATCTAGGAGGGAGATGAGTCCCTGAGTGTTTCCCTTAATTTCTTTAGGATCTCTTGGTATTTCCATGTTGGTACCCCATGCTTTAAGGCAGGGAACAGTGAAGTCATGCCCCCAGTCAGACCACAGCCCTTCAGAAACCAAAAACAATAGGAATCGTCAGACTTCCCCAGTTTGGTGTCTGTGCTCCCAGCTCCTGTGCTGCCCCCTCCCATTCAGTAGCTCGTAATGTGCAACTTGCGTTTAACTTTGCTTTGCAACTGGCTGAGTTTTTATATTTGTTTTATTCTTTATTTTGTTGGAAGTATGTGGAAGGATCATTTGAGAAATACCTTGAACGACTGGGAGATCCAAAGGTAAGACTGATCTAATACTTGTTAAGGGATTAAAACTTTAGGAGCCTAAACCAGGAAAATAATCAGGTGGTGGTTTAAAATTTGGTGGCATGGGGTTTTGTTTTTAGATAGACCCCAATGCTGGGGTCTCATTTGCATAGGTAATACAATGGGTTTGTGCTGAATATTCACATGTGTAAACAATATCCATTTTAGTGGGGAACTTGTATTGGTGCAAAGGAGCAATGTGTGCAGACTGGGCTGTAAAGCTGAGGCCTCTCACAGGCCTTGTGCATAATCGCAGTTCTTCTCTAAGGAGGAAAAGGCAAAATATGTGTAATGTACATCACATCAAGTGTTGATCAGGCTTTGCAATCCCCTGCTTCTTCCTTTATCCCCAGGTTCAAATGCTAGAGTTCAGACTTTAGCCAGTAAGTGTGGTGGATGCAGCAATCTCTGAAACAAATGTAGTGGCTTTAAATTAAAACAAAAACACAGCTTGAGTGATGTGATTAGGAGTTGCTGCCAGAACTAGCTCCATTTTACTCAGCTCATGCCCATCCCGCAGGCTTTTGTATGTCATAGAAATGGAAATCCTAATATCTCAACTCTCAGTGCATTGATTGTTTTAACCAGAGGATGAGTTTGGTTAGATATCTTAATACAACAGAGAACTAAAACAGAGTTCTCAGTGTTGAAGATTGCTCCACTATATCATGTAATCTCATCATCTTGCACAGGAAAGTGCTGGCCAGCTGGAAATGAGTGCCTTATCAGTCATGTACAAGTAAGTGTCTCTTTCTTAAGTTTCAGTTTGTTTTGGACTTGATGATGTTTGAGTTCTGGCCCCAGAACCTTTTATTTGTTTGTTGCTGAGATACTAATGTGTGAAACATAGTGAGAAATGCTACCCAAAGAAAGTTAAACTACAGTGTAAACAGGTGCTGTCACAGCCCCTGTTCTCATAGCCTGGGTTAAGGGGAGGGTCAATTTCCAGGTATGTTTGTTATCTTTTTGCTCATGTTAAACTCGGAAGCTAAGGGCTTCCTTCTAGTGGTTGAAGAATGGAAAATGCGAAGAAACAAGTAGCTGTGTAGTGGAAATGCTATGTGGTAATTACAAGCGTAACTAAAACTCATGTAGGTGTTCTTGAAAGCTCCAGTAGCGAGGTGTAATGGGCCTACTTGGTGTGTAAACCCTGGCATTTATGTCAAAGCCTCCCTTTGCAGGCTTGTTCTGTTCCTGTACTGAAGGAACAAACTGAAGTTTTGCAAGAATTACTAGTTCCCTGTGCTAATCCTGCTGTAATCCTTTGCAGGGTGACACTTAAGACTTAATTGGGTGTCTGAGCACCCTGCTGTAAGCATAAATACTTGACCTAGTCTGTGACTAAGTGTAATGGTCTTTCCCAGATAACTGTTTTCCCCTAAGATGGGTGTTTGCTTATCTAGCTGTTGCTGTATGGTAGCATTCGTTTATCAGGGAAAGTATTCTGCTTGACTTTCCTATAAACCAACAGGATTCTCTAAACAGCTCTCTGCAAACTTCTTCGTAAGATGGTTCTACTAGAAGTGTGTTCTTTCAAGTATTGTTTCTCCTCTGCTTACCTAGGCGAGACTTTATTCTGTACCGGTACCCTGGAAAGCCACCCATTCATGCTACAAACAATGGCTTTGAAGACAAGGTGAGCAGAAGTGAGGCAGTTTCCTATCCCTAAATCCCAGCTACCTCCAGTCCTGCTTAGTTGTAAAACCTTGCCACTGGAATTGGGCTCTTGTAAATCCAGTGCTCTTGTGTACCTGCACGAACCCCATAACTGGCTTCAGCTCATGGAAAAAGCACAGTATTTGCACAACAGTGAATTATAGTAGCTTTGCTTCCCATATGAGGGACAGATTGTGTGTTGTTCTCCTGCCAGTCTTTTGTTACACCAGCACATTATTGCAAAGAAGTTTAATTTTGACAGGAAGAGGTAACATCACAATTCCAGAATGTTCTTCCGTGTCTCTGAAGTCTCTGGGTAAAAACACTTCTCAGTGGGAATTTGACTGATCCAAGAGGGCAAAACGAAATATCTGGGTTGAGATGAAGAGCAGAACAAGATACATTTGTCATATTGGTGAAGAGAAGGTGTTCACCACCCCCAGGTACCTCTCTTCCTGACATTGGATGAGGTGTGCAGTTTTTCTTCCTGGAAAGGAGAGGTTGATGGGATTGATTAATCTAACAAACTGATTCGTTTCTATGACATACAAATTGAGTACAGCTGAGAATAGGAGCTAACGGAACAGCTTATATACACAAGAATTACTGCTGGGTGTCAAAAGAAGGCACATAAAGGAGAAATATTCTGTATTATCTTCCATCTGCCCCCTCTTGTGTTTTCTGCAGTCATGTAGCTGTGTCCACGCAATTCCATGGCTAGCTTGGGCGCAAAGCCAGTGAAGTTGCTGCAGTATGGATTTCAGTATGGGCTACTGTATTTGCCAAAGAGTCTGGTCTGCTCTGAAATCTGTGCTGCTGCAGCTGTTCTCTGTTGGTTAGAGAAGAACTGTCATTGTTTACGTGTGCTGCTTTTTCTCTGTAGCTTAATCTAACTCCAGAATGAGCCAACTTTAAAAATCAAGCAGTATGGTCTAACTGTGTGTTTGTCCTCGAAGGCTTCATCACCAGAACTCTCATTAAGTGTTGGCAGCTGTCTGTCATTAGCCTGCATCTACAGGCAGCAGCTCTTTCTGCTGTTGCTCTTTCTCACCATGAGATGAGAGCTTGTGTTGGCAGAAGACATAGTGCCCACTGAATTAAGAGCCCTGGCATCCCAGCTCCTGCTGGTTAACCGGGAAGCATCCTTCCTGGCAGTGTGCTGACAGCCAGGGCTTCTGCTAGTTGTGGTAAAATGGTAAGATGAGGTTTGATGGTATATGTTTACTTGGTGTGTCAGTGCATATGTTGCAGAAAGCAAAAGGGCAGCATAATATCTCTTCCTAAAAGCAGGGCTTTGCTGAGGGCTGGAGAAGTAGGTGCTTTTCTAGTCCCTCGGGCAGGGAATAGCAAAATGTGCCTTTGTTACTTGGGCAGCGCATATTGGGGTACTGCATTTAATTGCTTATATTTATTTTACCTCTTGAGCACTTGGTGGTTTCAGAGGTAAGCTGGAAACAAACTGTTATTTTATGTTTAATGCAGCACAATGTACAAATTGATAGTTTTCCTTGGCATAATAGACAAGCTTATTTAGAGTGTTGATCTAGGATTTGGTTTTTAAGCTGATTCTACAGCTTTTTCGTATTTAGTATTGGGTTTTGTTGAGCTGGTATTGACTGTAGGGTGAAAGAATAATGTGGTCTTGAGCTAGGATATCGAATAGAGTTAAGTTTTATATCATTCCAGACTTAAAGCCTGCTTTCTTTTCCCAGGTTTTACTGTGTTGTTCAGGCAATGGCCATTACGACTCTGTGTATACAAAACAGTTCCAGGAAAATGCTGCTATTTGCCAGGGTAAACTTGAAATCCTTTTTCTATGGAAGACAATTAGGTGTTTTCATATGTTTATAGGTAGTGTTTGTTTTGGTTTTCAGTGGTGGGGTGGAGAAGGATGGAAGCTCATTCACTGTATATTAACATATACTTGTTATTCTGTTAAGTGGGTTATTGGACCAAATGGCTTCCAGAGGTCCCTTCTTCCCACCTGAATTATTTCATGGTCCTCTCCTTAACTGAATGTAATATAACAAGTGCCTGTAACAGTAGATAATATATGAAGATACGATTACCTTGAAAATTGCAGCAGTTCTTACTGATCTGGTGTTACCTTCATTTGGTTTGAGCTTTGTGTTGATTTGTTCAGCTATATTATATGAGATCCTGTACAAAGATGTGTTTGGCATGGATGAGGAAGAATTAAAGTCTGCAGTGGAAATGTTTCGAAGTGGATCCAAGAAGAACAGAAACAATGTCTCTGTGGCAAGTGAGGATGCAAAGTTTGATTGCCTTCATGAAAAAGTATCCGGAAATCCATCAGAAAAGAGGTAGTGTTTTCGGAGGGAATATGATGAAAGGGAAGGAAAAAAAAAAAACCCAAACCTTAAAACCTTGCAAAGAGCAAGTTTTTCAAGTGTTTTTTTTTTTTTTATGGGGTATTAACTCTTTTATGTATCGTGTGACACAAACACAAAGCTGAAGTATATTGTGGAAGAGAACGTGCTTTCCTTGGAGCTGGGAAGTAGCATGTGATTGAAAAGCCTCTGCTGCTGGCTATGTTATAGTTGTGTGTTACTCTGTAAAATGACAGCTTATTTGTAAATAAAATTGATGTTTATGTCATCAGAATTTTATTTTTAGTGAAAAACCATTGTTACCCTTCTAAACCTCTGTCGCTCTGCAGAGGCCAGTAGTGTATTGAGAAAATGAGCTCTGCTTGGCTTTGTCCTTTTTTGAATGGAATCATACCTCAGATACACAATTAAACGGACTCCTTTAATTCAAGTCTGTTTGATCACTGAGGAAGAGAGGAACAAGCAGAACGTCCCTATAGAAACCCTCATATCCTGTGTTGCTCAAGTCACTAGAAAGGCTTGAGGGTTGCCTCTGAATGCTTGCAGATGGCATTGGTTTAATAGGTCTTAGGGTGTCTTCTTATACTTGACAGTGCAAGAGTTTAATCAGTCGGTGAGATCATCTTCATCCTTTCCTAATGCAAGCAGTAGCCGTCATTAGGGATGAGTGTTGGAACAAGTAAAGATGATGAAATGGGAAAAGGGTTGTCCTGTACCTCATCACAGCCATGGTTTGTGTTTAAGGCAAAAATCTGCCACTTGATGGCACCATGGTGCTTTTTCAGGTTATATGAGCAGTTGATTTTAATCCTGGTTAGAAATTGTGCATTGTATCTCTTGTAATCCTATTTTCAATTACTTAGACTGAACGACTGGGAAGGCAATGAGATTGACAATCCACAGGAAGATAAGTTCAAACAAGGCATTGAAGAAGAAAAGGTTTGTCAGTTAGGAAAGAGTTCCTTATGGTGTGTTCTTTTTGTTGCTGTTGTTGTATGACATTACCCTTGTTAGGGCTATACCTTCTTTTCCACTTTTTTGAAATGACATTGTGGAAAGTGGGTGGCTTACTTCTTCCATCTGCTTGTCTCTTGGTTTTGCCCCTGAGTTTATATTCAACTGGATAAGCCTTTTTCCTTTCTGAGATTCTCTTGTTCTTCTCTAGCTAATATCCCTCCAAAGATGGAGCTTAGCAGATGTTTTCTGGTCTGCTGTTTGCTTTTCCTAGAAACGGTTTAAATCAGCTCACTTTTGTTTGAACACAGTATAAATCACTCTGGAACGGTTTGAGAAACTCTATAGAAACATGTTTTCAGATTTAATAACTGAAACTCCCACCAACATCTGAAGCCATGGCTTCATTGGTCTAGTTGGCTTCCTTTGATTCTTTCTGAGTAAAGAACATGTTAGATGTTACTTTTGAGCGTGTTTCTAACCTTTCCAAAGTCTTTTTGCTCAGTTTCTGAATGCTTAAATGTGTTTCCATATTCTTGAGGTTTAGTTTTTAGGAAAATACAGTGGAAGTGAAAATCTTGGAAAACAGCATGTGTATGTTTTAAAACGTTCCATAGGTACTGGCAGGGTGGAGACTCTGCTGAATGCACTGAATGTACTTGTTAATGTTTCATTTCAACTCTTGTTTTTAGCATCCAGAAAACCCATTGAAGATGCCTGTTCCTTATAAAGTGCTAAAGGCTCTGGACCCTGGGATCTATCGAAATGTGGAGTTTGATGTTTGGCTGGACAGCAGAAAAGGTATCTTTTATAAAAGCAAAACAAAAGACTTTCTGTCCTAGGCTCAGTGTAAAATTTATCAGAGAAGCTGATTTTTCCCAGCTGAAATGTGAGAGATGCTGGTTAACCCAGCAAATACTTGTAGGTAGTACATCTTCTTGCTGGTAACTGGTTTCTTGGCTTCATTTCAAAGTATGAAATACACTGCTGCTGACACTGTATAATGGCTGTAAGGTTGCTGGAAGTCTGGCCTTTGCTACTTGCTGACTGTGGTATAGGAAATATGAGGACTCAGAGCAGAATGCAGAACTCTGTGTTACCATTCTGTTGTATTGGAAATCATTCAAATTCGGGAGGTTTTTGTTGCAGCATGTGTGCAAGGACTTCTGCTTTTTTTATAAGCATGATTTCTGGCTTAGAGATGTATAATAATGATCTCAAATTTAGCATTGAGATCTGTCAGATGAGATGAGTTTTGTTTCTCTTGCTTCCCAGCTCTCCTGGGCTTGAACCGTCTGGAAAGATTTCATGGTCTTTGTGGCTTGGGATAGGTTGCTGCTTTTTGGGGTACACTATGGCTGATCCATAAAGCAAGAAGTTACCAAGAGAGATAAGTTTTGAAGTGGCATTTAATAGCTGACCCAAAGTGCTTTGCATACTGAAGAACTCCAGCATTTTACAACTGCATTAGCAGTAGAGGGTCATTAAAATTCTTGGAACAGAGTATAGTAACTAATTATCTATGTAGAGTACTGGTGCGCAGAGAATCCAGGCGAGGAATGGAGAAAAACCACTGACATCTAGCAGCAATGAGACTTTAGGCAACGTTAGCTTTTCCTGGATAACAGCTCAGTCTTGCCAAGTGCTGCCAGTACTGTGGCAAGACAAGACACGTTCAACATTCTTAATACCAGGATTGTAACTAAATGCAGGATTAACTCACAAAAGGCATTGTAGTATTGAAGTAGTAGTGCTACTTACTGTGTTATCTGGATGTTAGTGATGTCCTGTGGTTTAGTGTGGTTATGGTCTGTTCGAAGAACATCTGTAGTTATTTCACCATTACTATGGGGAATGTTCAGGTATGCGTAGGAAATACTTAATTTAATTGGCCTGTAATTTGTAGTTGGATGCTGTTGTGAAGTACTTGTAGGATACGTGAAGAAAGAACAGTAGTTTAAAGGCTTTTTCCTTTTTTATTATTCGTTTATTTTTAGAGCTTCAAAAAACTGACTACATGGTGTTTGCTGGGAGACAGTACTATTTAGGAGACAAGTGTCAGGTTAGTACTCAAAGGAGACTCAGTTATGATAAACTACTAAAACTTCTTTAAATGGAGTATGGTAAGCCTTAAAATAATTTGACTTCATAGAATTTTCCAAGGCTTTTCTCATCCTTTTCCTTGTAGCTATTAATCTGACTTTTTAATTTCATTTCTTTCCAAAATCTCCTTTAAACACTGGGTAGCATGAAGGAAAAGCTGCTTGGAAATTCCTTGCAAACCAGTGATTTGCATTCTGTGAGTGTGGAAGTTCCAGACCAAGTGTTCAAAATGCACTGAGTGTGCTTTTGAGCTGGTTGTCTGTTAGACTTTCACTGGGGGTCAGCAGCAAGCTTGGACAGTCTTCTGCTTTTCAACAGTAATGTAGCAAATACTTCTGTAAAATAGAAGCGCTAAAAAGGGAGGAATAGCATGATCTGACCAGGAGATGCTGAAAAGAAGGTCAGCTTTCTTTGTTTTCTGATGGACGTAGTGAGAGCTTATTTTTGTCTCACTGTTTTGAGGTAGTCCTGATGATTCACTCAGTGACTTGCTTCTAGCTGAGCAAAGCTTTCCTTTCCAATTTCCTGTTTTATCTTCTGTTCTCCTTGAGTTCTTAAATAACAGTCTTCCTTGGTGCTTATCTGCTTGGCACAGTGTGTAAAAATAAGTAAAGAAACCAGGTATTTTACTTCTCAGTCACTCACAAGAATGATCGTGTTTTCCCTCCCTGAAGTTAGTATAGTGCTCTTTATTTTGCCTGCTATTTTGGAGAAGTATTTGGGAGTCCTGAGCCAACATAGGATCAGTTAGGAGCAGGCTTTGCTATTAGTGGTTTGCAGACGGTATTCTGGATCCCCTGGTACAGTTTGGCTATTTTAGAGCTTTTCTTGTTCTCTTTCCAGGTACGTCTGGAGCCTGGAGGTAAGTATTACAATGCTCATATCCAGGAAGTCGGACAGGATGGCAACACCTTGACTGTATTCGTTGAGGAGCTGGCAGAAAAGTAAGCAGCCTGGTGACACTTCATATTTGAGCTCATTCTAGTTGAGTTTGTATATTCAGAGAGGCTTTAAACAGGGTTAAGTTACTTTGAAAAGAGAACCTAGGCTTTCAAATACAAAGCGAAGCTTTGCTTCCTCGTTGGCTATCACTCTTCAAATACAGTGTTGCAGGAGTGCAATTTCTAGTGACCAAAATCATTATTGTAATGCATTCTGTGAAATCTTGCTGCTTGCTCTTCTCTGGAATGTGAAAGTGATTTTTGCACTTTGGGCTTAATTCATGAATAGCAGATTACCCTCTGGTGTTGGTCTCTGGAGTTCTTATGTTGTACCCAAACAACTGAATAATTGGCACTTCTGGCGGGTCTGATCGCTTTCTTCACCTTGCTGTTCAAAGCATTCACCTTCCTCCTAGAATTCTGGTCAAACCTAGGATTCAGCTTGATGACATACTGCAAAAAACCTGTGTTGTCACATACTTTCAGGTGTAGTTCTGTGCAGGGAAGAAAGACTTCACCAGGAAGTCAGTATGTTGAGCCTAAATCCTAGCTTGCCTTGTTTAATAAATGAGTTACAGTAGCGTGCTTGGTGTCAGGGAA